CTCACGCAACCCTTATTACGAGGCTGAGTTAGAAGAGTTTTTTCAATTGAAGTGACGTTTTGAAAAGGGATTATTTATTATTTAGAGTCGCCACTTGGAATTGAGTTTTGGTGTTCCAAGTCCCCTTTCATTTGAATCCCTTATCACAAGGAAGGTTTGACTCCTAATTTATGATCTACGAAAACAGAAGACTGAATAAGGAATTCTGTTGACCGAGGGAAAGGTGTGAGGCACCCCTCGAGTCCCGTAGTTCTAGCACAGTTGCTTTTATTGGCATATGTCCGGCTTAAATCAATTTTTGGCTCTTTTTTATATTTTTATTGGTTATGGCTTGTCTATCTATTACCACTTCACTTAATTATTATATTTTATTAATTGTTTGGACCCAGATATGATACGCACACAAGGTATTTCTTTGAAGTTAGATGTTAAGCCAAGGTACGTAATGTACACATGGTTAAAACATAATTATTTTAAATTTAAAGGTATCAAGACGCGGGGAATGCGTACATGATCCTTTTATTATTTAAGCATATCAATCCAAGGTTCGGGTATGAACACATGGGCTAATATTGTATTTAGAATATTTAAATTATTTTGTCTCTTTTAGATTCGAGATATTTAATTGTACATTTTTATTATATATTTTTTTTACTTATTGGAACGAGTCTTGAATTAGTTCGTGGATCATTTCGCTCCCTCACAATAATTTTGTTCTTACCACTCTAATTATTTTAGTTCTTGCAGCAGGCTTACCAAACAAGCTATAATATTTGAACAATTAAATATCCTCAACCATTGATCTGTCATAAAGAAAAACAGTGGATAACCAATATGAAGCAATTAAATATGATATGAAATTATTCTTTTACAAAGGCACACGTCAATATAAGAAACTACCAAATTTATATATCAATATTATGGAAAATATAGAACTTAAAACTTACATTCTTCTAAAAAAAATTTAATTGTTATTTATCTAAAATTGAAGCCTAAATACAATCTGTGACTAAAACAAATAAACTTGCACTAAAGAATACAATCAGTTCGTCAAAAATCAAATATAAAATCTTTTGACTCAATATTTTTAATTCGTTAAATCTATTTGACAATAAGTATATTACCAATACAAACTAATTTCAAAAACCAATGCCTTAACAGAGACCAAGGTTGAATTTCATATCCAGAAGATGTAAAAATAAATGTATTAAATAACATGACCAAACTTAATAGATTTACCAACGGAATTCTTACAAAATTGCCAGCCTACTAAACTCGATTGACAAAAGTCATTCGACCAATTCACTGCCTTATTAAAATAATTTGACCAATCTAATAAAATTGATTAATACCACCACTCCAAATTGGATTTACTAATTCAAAACAAGACCGAGCTTTACAAACTATATAGACTTAACTAATTAAGAATAACATGCTAATTCTCACTGTATCTTGTCTCCAAATTCATGAATTAGTATAAAAGTATTTCTAATATATTAAATATTGCATACAAAGAGGAATAACAAACTGTAGCCACTTTCTCTATCTTACCAGAGAAAAAGAAAAGATGGCAAAAAATAAAAAATAAAAAATTCTAACAAAAAACTTACAAACGAATTAAAGAAAATTTTCAGACTTTAAGAAGACAGAGATCTCATATATCATGTTTAAACTATACAGAGGAGATTGAGTGTTACCTTTTTTGTAAGATTTCACAATATAAAAAAATTATTTACAATCTGCTGAATTGAACCCGCGAACTTAAAACCACGAAGGATACTTCGATTTTTGACTCCGAACCTAATAAGTCCGCCAAATAGTTTAACTCCAAGTAATTTTCACTCTAAAAGAACAATGCTAGTTTTTTCTTAGCTGCTGATTTTTTTCGCTTTCCCATCCCCTCATACTCCTCCTTTTTATGTCTTTATACAAATTAATGGAATTATGCATTCAAAGAAATGAATGTTGGTGAGATTGTGTGTGTATGTGATGTCGTGTGTGTGTGAGTGGCGTGAAAGTTAGGGAGTGTGGGATGAGAGACGTGAGGCTTGTGGATTTTTTGGGAGGTTAAAGATTTGAGATTAGGATTAAATTAGGATCTTTTCTCCATTTTTTTTTGTTCAGAGAAAAAAAAAGAAAATTTGAAGATAAGAACATTAATTACCTATTTTTAGACTAATACAAACATATACTTGGACTATGATTTAAATAACATTAAAAATAAATTAAAAGTTACTACTTTACTTATTAAGATCCTAATTTTAAAAAAAACATATTTTTTGATAATTTTCTTCTATTTAAAAATAGGAACAAAACATATACTCTAAGAACGTGCAATATTTTTTGTAATTTTTAATTTTTCTCAAATAAAACCTATAAAAGTAAGCTAAAAGTTTAAAATATCAAGATTAGATCTAAAAGAAATATTTACACTAAAATAGTATAGAATTCAGGTGTGGTAAAAAATTAGTTATTCACAATCGTAATTTGTGATTTGCACGCAAAGTTTGGCGTCATTCCGGAATGTTTAAGTATGAATCGGACGCGTTCGTCGAAGTTTGAATGTTTGAAAGTTTAAAGAAGGTTTTGATCTTCGATTCATGATTTAGATACTTTGGTGTGATTTGAGGCCTCGAGTACATTCATGTTATGATTTCGGACTGGTTTGTGTGATTGGACGGGGTCCCAGGGGCCTCGGGTGTATTTCGGATGTGTTTGGATGGCGTCGTGCTCTTATTTGATGTATCTGCGTCGTTTCTTTGGGCATAAAGGGCACTATATTGAGAAAAAGACCTTTGATTTGTGATTATATTAAATCATTAGATCTGTATCGTAATTACGGAGCCATAGCAATAAGAATCGTCAAATTCTGATGTCGTATGAGAGAGTTATGCCCATTTTCATGTGGGACAAAATTGTTGGTTTCTGGTGCGAAGCTTTGTTCTTCGCGAATGTGAAGAAGGATTTCTGGGTTGACCGGTCAACACAAAAAATTGCTCTTCGTGAATGCGAACGTCTCCCCCGAAGGCGATGAAGAAAAATCAACTGGACAGTGTTTTAAACAGAGAATTTTAGTATTTTGGGCATATCTTGAATTCTAGAGCTCTGATTTAGGTAATTTTTGCAGCGTCGTTCTCGTCTCAACAAGGGGGTAAATATCTGACCTTTATTTTGATGTTTCTCCATTATTATTTCCATTGGTTACTATTTTTATCCGTGTTTGGATTGTAGAAATTGAGATTTTGAGCCTCAAAGTTGAGAAATGGTAAATCCTTGATTTGAGAGTCGATTCATGGAAGAAATTGGATTATTTTTTCAATATAGACCATATGAGTTATGGGTAATATTTATTTTCAATAAATTTCGGAATTCGGGCACGTGGACCCGAGGGTTGACTTTATTGACTTTTCGAGCGGAGTTGGGAATTGTTACAAATTGATTAATTATGGATATTGGAGTATATTCTTATTGGTTTGCACATTGTTTGACTAGTTTTGGATCGACAGGCATCGGTTTGAGGCGTTAGAGAGGTTTTGGAGCCGGTTATGGAACTTCGGAGCGAGGTAAGTCTCCTGTCTAACCCTGTGAGGAGAAAACTACCCCTAGGTGATGTAATTCATATGTGCTATTTGTTGCGGGGGCTACGTACGCACGAGATAACGAGAGTCCGTACGTAGCTAGATTCATGTTATGTCCGGGTAGACTTAGGTTCCCGCCATGCTATAATTGTACTATTTGAGTTGTCCATTGCCTATTAAATTCCTTTTATTTTATGTTACAACTTGAGACTAGACTTGTGTAGAGTGATATATTTGCTATTTAGAGATTTGACGAGCTTCATAATTAGTCATGGAATAATTGTGCTCCTCTTACGAATTTCTCCCGCGCTATGCATTTTCATCGAAGGATTTTCCTTAAAAATTTATAACTCACACGTTTACTCGTGAGTGGGGTCAAGGACCCATTAAAACTTCTTATTCTAATGGGATCGGGTCGTTTGCCCCGGTAGGATTATGTACCACACTCTTATAGGAGCGGGCCATTCACCTCGGCAGTATAATATATGCATCTATGGTTCGTGTCGTTCGACCCTCGGTAGTGCACACAGTATGATGGGATCGGGCCGTTCACCACAACATTTCTATAAAACACTCTTGTGGATCAGGTGGTTCGCCTCGGCAGCGTCGTGCGTAATAATTGACAAAGAACCAGCGTATCCGTGTGTTTTTCCTGACTTGAGTTGTGATGACCTATCTGGTGAGGCCCATTTTATATATACTCCGGTTGAGGAGGTAACTGCTAGTTGAGAGCTTGAGTTTACCATTCTGAGGAGGATTGTACCTTGTGTTTATATTTTTTTATACTCTTCCTCATACTTGTTTACTTCTTATTGTTCATGATTTAGTGGACCACTAGTAAGTGTCGATGTCGACCCCTCATCACTACTTCTCTGGGATTATGCTAGATACTTACTGGGTACGCGTTGATTTACGTACTCATACTATACTTTTGCACTTATTGTGCAAGTTTACATTTCTGGTGGTCTTTTGGGCACAGAGGCGCAGCTATTGCGGAGACTTTACAGTGAGTTGCATCCTATATTACGATCCGCAGCATACAGAGTCTCCATCAGCGTTATTTACATTCTCATGTCTAACTTGTATTCCAGGCAAATGTTGTATTTTATTATATTTCCTAGTTGATTCTCATGCACTTGCGACACCGGATTTTGGGGGTTCCTACTGGATATTTAGTATGGTAGTTCACGTAATTATTATCATTTCACCCTGGAATCTTTATTTTATACTATTTAATTAATGGGAATTATGATTTCAAGTAATAAAAATGAGCAATTAAGTTGATCAATCACCGTTGGCTTGCCTGACGGCAGCGTTAGGCGCCATCACGAACTATAGTGGATTTTGGGTCGTGACACTAATAGAGTAGTATTGAAGCTCAAACACCTCTAGTTTTTTTCATTAGCTTTTGATGATTTTGACCTTAAATATTCTAGTAAAGCACTTTTATGTTGAAGTTGTCTAGTTGTGATTGCTTGTTTTCCCTTCCATTTCAAGCCTTTACTTGGTTTATAACCAAGATCACTAGTCACTACAGCTGAACTTTCAAGTGCTCCACTGTTGCTTCCACTATCGATTACCCTACTAACATGCCTCCCTTGCTGAAAATTAAATGAAAAAAAATAGATATCAAACAAGAGAGTTTAACATGCAACCTCAAAACTAGCACACCAAACTGCTCATTACCTCAACACATGTATAGCCACTTTTGCTGACAAATACTCCATGTCCCACTACTCTTGGCCTCTTAAATGCAGTAAGAGCGCCTCTATTGCCTGAGATTGCTGCACTTCTAAAACCTGAGAATGGTGCACTTCTAAAACCTGAGATTGCTGCACATCTGAGGTTTGTGAGTTCTGCACCATGTTGCTATTTCCTCTTCCTTTACCACCCTTAGTTTTAGCATTCTTCTTACTAGTAGATGCTTGGGAGTCAGCCTTTGATCTCTTTTTAGAGGTTGATTTTTGTGAGTGGGCCACTCCCTTTGCATAAACAGAAACAGAAATAATAGACTGAACTTAGTAAGGCTGCTGATGCAATCTAATACCAACTAATAGAAATAACCTAGTGACACATAAACTACCAGAAGCTAACATAAGTAAACAACCTATAATAGAAGTAAAATAACAGAAGCTAACAGAAGCTAACAGAAGTAACATCTATCACAACTAACTGAAGCTAACAGACCCAAACAACTGATACAACTATCAACTGCTAATAGTGTCAAACAGCTGATACAACTAACTGAAGCTAACAGACCCAATCAACTGATACAACTATCAACTGCTAATAGTGTCAAACAGCTGATACAACTAACTGAAGCTAACTGTCCCAAACAGCTGATAAAATTAACTTCTGGTAACAGTCCCAAACAACTGATACAACTAACATAAACTAACAGTCCCAAACAACTGATACAACTAACATAAACTAACAGTCCCAAACAAGTGATATCAACTAACAGAAACAACCTAGTGAAACATAAACTACCATAAGCTAACAGAAGTAAACAACCTATAACAGAAGTAAACTAACAGAAGTAAAATAACAAAAGCTAACAGAAGCTATATTAAGTAACAACTATCACAACTAACTGAAGTTAACAGTCCCAAACAGACAGAATCTAAATAAGTACTATGAAATGGAAAGAAAGTACCTCTGAAGTGCTTTGAGGTTTATTTGGACATCTTCTTCTATTATGAGGTGTGGACTTACAAATTGAGCAACTCATCGATATTCCTCTCTTTATAAGCTTTCCACTACTTTTTATCTCCCCAACCTCTTTTTTTCTTTTTTTGTGGACCTTCCGAGCATTGTTCTAACAGGAGGTGGTTCAACTTTTGCATTTGTTGACTCAGGCCATATCTCCATGCATGGTACTAGCTGTATGAAATAAGAATAAGCTTTTAAGTAGGTCTCTTTCTTGTATCACTCAGAAATGAAGTCAAGTGGATAAAGTCTTTTGTGATGAATTGCTGCTACACCATGTGCACAAGGTATCCCTTTCAGTTGCCACGCTCTGCAACTACACGCTCCCTCAATCAACTTGACAATGTGTTTAATCCTGTAGCCCCCTTAACTTCATACCCAAAATCATCATTCCAGTGTATTGTGCACTTCATTGACTTCTCCATATTTGTAACCGATACCATCATTGCCATTGGGGATATGCCTTCATTCCAAGTATCTATAAATGCCCTTACTCTAGTGAATCTATTCATAACCTTTATTCTAATTTCTTCAAGCATGCTAATGATTGTCTTGTGCCTAGGACCCAAAACCCAAGCATTGAAGCTTTCAGCCATATTATTATCCACACCGTCAGACTTGGAAGAAGTTCTGAACAATGCTTTGCTCCATTTCTCAGGATTGTAGTTTACCAAGTCTTCACAGATCTTGTGACTTACTTTACTTAGCTTGTCCAAGTTTGCTTTAAGTTCAGCTTCATAAGTTGACCTTGCACAACTCCAAAATCTATTTCTTCTCTTAATACCCTTCCATTCCTGTTGCCAGTTAGCTAGAATATGTCTTGCACACATTCTTTGCTCACATTCAGGAAGATATTTTGAACTGCTGAATACAAACCCTGTAAAATAATATAATAAATAAATAAGACATTGTTAGTTTAAATAAGATAGTACTGTTAGTTTAAAAACAAAGAGACTGTTAGTTTAAATAAGATAGTACCTTTTTCATATCACTAATGATTGTCAATTCTGCTCCTTTATCATTTATCTCCAAATCAGACTTCAATATCCTTATAAACCAACACCATGTGTCTTTACTTTCAGTCCCAACTACAGCCCATGCTATTGAAAATATTTGGTTGTTCCCATCCTTTGCAATAGTAACAAGTAGCTGTCCCTTAGATATTCCCTTCAAGAAACAACCATCTAACCCAACAAATGTTTTGCACCCTTCAATAAATCCCCTTTTCATTGCTGCAAAGCAAATGTACAAGGAGTAAAATAATTTTTTCCCATCTTCAGAATCTGTCACTTTTACCACACATGTGCTCCCTGGATTTGATTGAATGAACACATCTCTATAATCATAAATCCTTCCAAACTCCTTCACATGATCACCCATCACTTCTTTCAATACTTGTTTCCTAGCCTTCAAACAAATTTTTTTCCCAACATACAAACTCAAATCCCCCCTTACCAAATCTTGCATCTTCCATCCCTTTATGCACGACTGTGAAATTATCCTACTTTTATAGTACTTGGCAAGATACTTGGTATTGCATATTGAATTTGTGTTGGTCTTGTTGTAATTTTGCCTAGGATTATAAGTTCTAATGATGAAATCAACAGATTTGGGCTTTCTGCTTGCCAACAATAACTAAGGACATCCACTAGTTTTGCATTTTACCCTAACTCTGTTTTTATCATTTGTAATCTTCTCTAGCTCACAACCTCTTTCTATTGCATACCTGGTGACAGCTTCCCTAAACTTATATACATTTTCAAAGACCATGTTAAGTTTCCAAACCACTTTTTCCCATTTTAGATCATACATTACCCTTTTGTTCTCCTTCCTTGCTTTCATGTTACCACTTATGTTTTCTGATTCACTACCACTCCCATTGTCACTCTCAAAACTATCAGCATCTGAACTGTCATAAAAAGGCTCATCACCAACTAACTTACCAGAAACATTTTTCTTCCCTTTATCTATGTCTTCAAAACCTGGATCTATCCCAACTGGTCCAAGAAAACACTCAGCAACAACTTTCTTTCTTGGTGTTCTTTTTTTCTTCTTATAAGCCCTCAAATCTGTTTTAACTATGTTCAACTCTTCATGCACATCACTACAATAATCAGGCTCATGCTCTTCATCATCAGAAATGCTTGATTTATCACTATCTGCAGCATCACCTACAACTTCTGTATCATCTTCCTCTAAATCTTCATCTTCTATGTCAGAATCATCCTCATCTACTAAGGAGTATCTAGGAAGTTTTTCTACAACATCTGACTGTTCATGGGGGTTCTATTTGACCACTAGAATTAATATTTTCAATTTGGAAACCTAAAGATGCATTGAAACCTTCAACAACCCTGCTAGCATAAAAAGACCCGAAATCTAAAACTAACAACAAGCAGCATGCATGCATGCAACTATATATTCGACAAACCAACATCAACAAGTAGAAAGATATAACAACTCAAAAAAAAAAGACCCAAATTTTTCTACTCCGAACCAAATCGCAGCACCTACCTATCATAATTTCGCAACAAAAATAATAGAGAATAAAGAATAAGACCTGTATTGAAGCTATCTTCTTTAATAATCTTCAGAATCTTCAAACAATCTTCAGAACTAAATGAATCTTCAGTACTATAAACCCTAATTTTTTATACCGATTCACCAGCAAAACCCTATATTTACTCCCAATTCGAAATAGAAGCAACAATAAGAAGAGAAATCGATGGTAGCAACAATAAGATTAAGGTAATTAAGAAGAGAAATCGAAGGTTTCTCTCATCTCCAATGAGAGAAGTTTTCGGATGAGAGCAAAGAGACCATTTTTACCGAGAAGAAATGACCGACTAGTAAGTTAAAATTTCCTTTTTAATTTTTATCACGTAATTAAATTAATGTATACTAATTAAGCTCATTTTAAGATTAAGGTAATTAATTATCCACGTGGCATGCCACATAGCAGATTTTAATATTTATTTAGAGTGTGTATCATACGCACTAGTAAGATTGAGACGGGGGGTTTTATTATGAATGAGATATAGTTCAGGGGGTTTTGGAGATAGTTGATGCTTTAGATAGGAAACTGACAAAGAGAGGGTATTAACTCGAAAAAAAAAAAAAAAAAAAGAGGAACTGATCGAACGGCCCTGCATTGGACCGGAATGTTATGTGTGTTCTAGTAAAGCACAACCAAATGCTCCTCCCCTGGAATAGGATCTGATTTGCTGCCACATCTCCTTCTACACCTCACTCTCTCTCCCTACAAACATCAGACCGGATTCTGCTTGTAAGCTTCCATTTGTGCCAAGTTTTCTCCATCTTTGAACTTTCAAATTTATTGGTTTCCTTAAAATCGTTAACCTTTTGTTTGTCCCATTTGATTTTTAATATTGGCTCGCTTAAACTTGATTGATAAGATTGGATATTGAAGTATAATGATGGGTTTTCCCTAAAATATTGAGTCTTTTTTCTTATAGTAATGCTACAATCTGCAGGTAGATTGTGAATGTGTGGTGAAGTTGCATTTATTTTTTCTAATTTCACGAATCGATCAGGTACTAATTTGTTCTTGTTGGCCTGAAATTGGGAATTTTCACTTGAAAATGGTTTTCTTTCTTTTCGTATAATGGAGCCAAGATTGAACAAAGCGTTGGGTTCATATGGAGGTGGAGCTTGAATTCTAATGCTAGGAAAATACAATAGAATTCAATCTTGTTATAAACCCATAAGAAGTCAATACTGAGGGAAAAATGAATTTTATTATAACTCTAATTAAGAAGTAAGTACAAACACTGACATTCAGAAAAAAGCGAGAGAATAGGTAAAGGAAGAGAGAGAATCAGAGAGCTAGTGGAAGAAGAAGAGAATTTTAGATAAGAGACTGTCAGATTTCCATTGCTACCTTCCTCCACTGCTCCTTTATTAATTCATGAACTAGTTTATTTGATGTTGATGTGTACCCACATCTTCACTAAGCATTATGTAACTAACTTTGAGTTATCTAACTAATCTTCCCTCACATCTAATATCTGCTTAAATCATATCTCTGTCTTTGACCTGCTGCAATGGATTTTTGAGTTGAATCTAATAAGCCTCAATCGATGTTAGTATGGGAAAGTTATGTGCAACTGTCATGTGGAGGAAGTCATCTGACTTTCTTATACAAGCGTAGGAAGTTCTTCTTTCATTAGTGAATTGACCAATGTGGTAATATCCGATGACCTATGCTGGATGCTACAATCTTTATTTACAAGTGTAAATCTAAATTCTTAATATATCTAGTGCCTCTGCGTGTTTAATATATAGTCAGTGCCTGATTTCCATTCAACCTGCTCAGATTTGCAATGGAACTTCATGATATTCTGGCAATGATCATTTCAGTGATACTAATTGCTAGGATCAGCGATACTGCAGTATCAAGTGAAGTAAGTGACCAAGCTGCTAAACAATCTCAAGATGTGCGATTACTTCTTGATACGTGCAGTAGGGTGTTTAGTAATATACAAATTTACAGAAAACTGTTAATCTAGTCGGCAACAAAACTTTAGACACAATTCGAGACCACCACTAATTCGTTTCCATAATTCACCAGATTTACTCCTTTTCGCATCTTCTTCAGGTCTATGCACCTTATCTTGACAAATATGTTACAAAATCCTACTTTTGGAAACATGACAATTTGGAAGACTTGAAGTTTGAAGATTTTATTGCACATGACGTACTGTCCAGCGCATGTGTATCCCTGCAAGACAACATCATATTTGCACCAAAACTATCTGCTTTACATCGAAATCTGATTGGTGAAGGCTCCCATAGGCGTCTGTCATCATCTCTCAGATTGAAGATGTCATCGGAGTCCGTTTCCAGGCCTCCAAAATCTTGTGAGGTGATAATTGTTGAAAGACTGCCTTCTGGAGTCTTTGCAGATCCTTTTGAGCTACAACACCTTGTGCAGCGTGGTGGTAATTACCATTAGATTCTATAGGTTTCTAACACTGCAGCTCTTGATTTTGAGGCTTGCCACGTTTTGTTGCAGTTCTTAGGGAAGCTGCTGTATTTGGAGATACAAATTTAGAGTTGCCCTCATTTCGGTCAAACCGGTCACTTGTTGAGGTTCATCTGGAAATGGGTTCCAATTTAATATCAGAACAAAAGGATGAACAGGAAATACACATGGAACTTCCTCTACATGCACGTTATCAGGTACATCACGTAAAATTATGTAGGAATCGCTGAAGTACGTATCAAGCATCCAAGGTAGTCATTTTTGTTCTCTTGAAGTTTATTTGATACTTTATACAAGTAAAGATGTAAGTTACCATAATTTTGGGCCCTTTTAATCTGGGAGGAGGCCACATGTACATTTATTTAGAAGCTTCTCAACTATTGACTTACTATAACATCCCAACTTTTTCTTGGCAGCCACTAGGACACAGATTCTCAAAAGTCGAATTTGCTGCACCTGACTTGTTTCTGCGTTGCAACAGTAAAGGAAAACAACATGACATGAGCTGTTTGTTTTCGCTAGACAAACAAAGTGCTGAATCAAATGATGGTCATCCGTTGTGGGAAGTACCATGTGGAAGTAGTCAACACATGGAAAGTGTATCTGCTTTTACTTTCATCTTAGCTGTTGTATCAGCTCTTCTCATCATTGTTGCCTCTATTACGTATTCTGGTGAAACAGCGATTGAAACAGCCCTGAATAATGATTAACTTTGGCAACCTATTCTTTCCCCTTTCTGGACTAACCATTGGCAAGAGAAACTCACTTGATGTTAGGTATCCTCCATCAGTTATCTATGTTTAAAAATGTTTTGTTGCTTTTGTCATTACTAATTTCTTAGATCAACTACATTTATGTTAACTTTTATAGTTACAAGTTACAACACTGAACATTGGCAGACGGAGAAGGAGCTGGGCTCTGGATGTTGCTCCACTAACACTTATGTAGGTTGTATGGAGAGAAAGAAATAGAAATAGAAGAGCTTTTGACGGGTAGAGAAGAATTATGTACAGTTGAGGAGTCTCTCTTATCCTTATTTCCTTTTGGTGCACCCATGAGATCCCTGTAGCTATAGAAGATTGAGTGTAGTATGTCAAAAATCTTATTTTGTGTAGGTTTTCTACTTTTTTGGTATACTTATTGTATAAGAGCGATTGTTTTTGCCCAAACATTAATAAATCTTATTACTTTATCAAATACTAGGTATACTCTTGAACGTGTATCAAATAATGCATGCTGATCGTATAAGCAAATTCAATTTTTCCTCACAGTAACAAAGACTTCGCCTAGACAAGCAACTCTTTGAATCAACTTGCATTCAGATGCTCGATCTCTGTGCACCTTTTATATCATTCCTGGCCACCTCAAATACTTGTGTACGATGATTCATCTACTTCTCTTGACTAAACCATAGCTCATCTCAAATATTTTTCTACTTGAGTTGTACACGGCTATATTCTCATTTCCATGGAATAAACAACATTTTCTATGATGGCAAAACTATATTCTCGAAATTCAGGAATTTGAGGGCCTTAGTACATGAAGTATATAAATCTAATATCTTACCCTCGTACCACCTTAAGATCTTAATTCTACGTACAAATCGGTTACCCCGATTGTCCCCTTTCCAGCAACAGTGAACATGCTACTTTCTAAGGAAAAGAAGCTCGAGCAAAGTAGTACTCCAACAAATCAGGTCGCTTCAGAAAATAGAAGCAGGAAACCTTCCATGCAGGATTTATCCACCAGGGCAAGACAAGGAAATCAACAAATCAAATTAATGATAGCTTCACACACAAGAATCAACAAAGAATTGAATGTCAAATGTCAACTGGTTTAAGAGTACCCAAAGTGCAAATAGAAGAGGTTGCCCCTCCAAACAAGAATAAACTTTTATTGACAGACCCATCATTACATCGAAGCAACACATCTTGCAACCATCGCACCAGGTTTACATTGAATGGAAACCTTTGGTCTCCCACCTCCCTAATTACGCAACTTCTCCTATGACTAGAAGAACCAAGGATCAGGATGACTGAGCTCCAGGGTGCCTTTGAAACGATGCGAATCACAGCAGTCACCTTTTTTCGAATCAAAACAATCACTTCTGTGACTGAACAGAGTGTAGGGCTCTTTTTCTATATCCCAGTAATTTTCAGCTCAGGCTGCAAGTACTATAATCACAATGAGGAGCACGATTCCAAAAATCACTAGGAGCAAGCAAGTCTGCAGAAAATAGTACAGGTCAGGAAATCATCTATAGAGTGTATATCGTTCAGTGTAAGGAATATTAAGTGCAAAATTTAGAAGTTGTACTCCGAGGGGAAAGAAAATGAACAATATGAACGGTTTCTCGCCCCAATTTGATAAAAGGATCATGTAAAAATAGAACGGGTCATATGACCTAAAATCAAAACCATCCAAAGCATCCCCCAAAAAGATGGACACCCAACCTTACCCCCAAGTTCTCCTTTCATGACTTCCATTAAGAAAACATGACCAATGAGACACCTTGCCATGATCGACCTTCTAACAACTATACCAAACATATTCTAAAGTGTAAAAGTTATAAAAGATGATAATGCCCAAGTGCAAAGCACTACTCACCATCTTCTAAATGGTCTTACTGTTTTTTCACTTTTGTTTTTTTCTATATAAGCAATAACGTTAAGTATAGCATAAAAACGCAATTAGTGGTAGTCGGTCAATAACAGAATGTGCCACCGCGATTAAGGGTAAGTTCTACAAAGTAGTGGTTAGACCGTTCATGTTGTATGAGGTAGAGTGCTGGCCGGTCAAAAACTCGCATGTCCAGAAAATGAAAGTAGCTGAAATGGGAATGTTGAGATGGATGTGTAGGCATATTAGGTTGGATAAGATTAGGAATAAAGCTATTCGGGATAAGGTGGGAGTGGCCCCCTGGGAGGATAAGATGCGGAAGGCGAGGTTGAAATGGTTTGGGCATGTTAAAAGGAGAAGCACAGAAGCCCCAGTTAAGAGGTATGAGAGGTTAACCTAGGTGGGTATGAGGAAGGGTAGAGGTAGGCCAAAGAAGTTTTGGGGAGAGGTGATTAGGCATGATATGGCGCAGCTGAAGCTTACTGAAGACATGACTCTTGATGGGAGGGTGTGGAGGTCGAGGATTAGGGTAAAATGTTAGTAGGTAGTCGAGCGTTTCCCTTTGTCTTCCTCAGTTCGATACCATTAAAGTAAATTTGTTATCTCTTTATTCTTAGATTGCTATTACTACCGTTTACTTGCTACCTTGGCTTTGATCCTCTTTTTATCTTTTTGTTGTTTATACTTGTTGCCATTACTTCTTTTTATCTTTTCTTTAGTCGAGGATCTTCCAGAAGCAGTCTCTCTGCCTTTCAGGGTAGGGGTAAGGCTGCGTACATCTCACCCTCCCCAGACCCCGCTTGTGGGAATTCACTGGGTTTTTTGTTGTTGTTGGTGGTGGTAAGTATCAGAATCATAAACCTGTAGAAGCTTTGCATTCGGCCAATAGTCTTATAAGTGATACAAGTTCAACAGAGCCACTAAAAGGCATCTCACAAAAACGCAATAGGCTTAAGCATACCAATCATAGGGTTCTATGTTCAGGAAGATAAATGGTTAAATGTGATTGAAGTACCAGAGATGAATTTGATCTTTGGGTCTTTGCAGCTTTAGCAAGTTGCGATCTCCCCTGTGCAGTTGCAGCATGAGCATTCTCAACGTTGGAACCAATATCATCTGCAGAAAACAGAATTGTAAATATCAAAATGATGTTCAAAATGGAGATTTGAATACTAAAACAAAAGAGGAGTGATCTACCAATCATAGCTCCTTGCTCGTGAACAAGCACAGCAAGGTCCTTAAAAATTTCATTCACTTCACCAATTTGTTGTTGTATTTCTTGTATTCCCTGCTCTCTTTCTTCGATAATTGCTTCATTAAAAGCAATCCCATTGTCCAATAGCAAAACCTCCTGTCTGCAGCACAATGCAATATAAAGTTACAGAATACAGAAAAGAGAAGGAGATACAACTTCTGATGAGGCAACAACATTGATCTTAGATCACAACATCATAAAATATAGCACATCTAAGCTCAATAAAATATGACTTCAACATATGACCAACTGAGGAGAGCTCTGATATGTAGCTTCATTAAAACCACATCCACGCCTGCAGTTTCAATGTTAGTAAAAATGATTATCCCATCGATGATTACCACTTTCTCATAGTTGAAGCAGCATGAACAGGATAAAGAAAAAGGAGAAGAAAATGCAGGCCTTATACAATATGAATACAAGGAGTCAGTATCCAGGTACTTTCTAATATTCTTCTCGTTATAATAACTTCTCTTCTTCTTCTTTTTCAGTCTCCCTACTTGTATTGATTTACTTCTTTCTTTCTGTTTTTCTTCTTAAACATAACTATTTCTATTTGTTCTTTTGCGTGAAGCCTCTTCTCCTACAAATTCTGCCTTTAAGCTTCTTATCTGCTGTCAAACATTATTCCTTTCTTTTTTCTTGTATTTTCTTCACATTCTGTTCTCCTATTCTTGGTTTCTAGGCTAATTGTCAGAAATATATATATATATATACTAACAAAATATGTTTTTCTGTGATGATACATTAACAAAATACTTGTCCATTTGAAACTAAATATTAGTATGACTATGAAGGCAACTGAATATGAATTTGAATGCTAGAATTTAACTTCTTATTAGTGATTAATTCAAAGCTGAAAGTTAATTTGCATTTGAAGTTATCTTTCTATAGGTTTGCTGAAATAACATTGAGATGATCTTTCCTTTTAATTGTTCTAAGTAACATTGTCATTGTTGTATATTGAAATTAGCAATGTTGTTTGCATTTCAATGTCTACTAAATTCATATATGTTAGCTGATTTTTGTACTATTGTCACTTTTTATATGACAATATTGACTAGACACGGCTAAAGATATTAATTTTGACTTGTATTGCATAGTGATAATGAGAACATTAAATTAATGGTTGAAAGCTAGTTTGAAAGAGAAAATAACACATCACATTTCAAAACTTGAATAGTTAGATGAATTTGAATAATTGAAAGTTGTGAATTTTATAGAAAGAAAAGTAAGTCAAATCTTTTGCAACACCGAAAAATGGAAATACTAGGGAGCATTTTGTGTAAATTGTGTGCTTTACTCCAAAAAAGCATGCGTTCTCACTCTCGCTTGAAGCCCCAACGCCTAGTCTTTTTTCTGGAGCTTTTGCTTTTAAAAACTGCCCAAATTAAGGGGGATATATAATTCACCATCCTCTGATGTTCCTCTCATTCATGTAACAAATTTATTCCTTATCATTTGTTGAATGCCTAATCAATTAACACACAGTTCTACCTCGTCTTTTCACAAAAGTATAGGAGTTGCTCAACTCAGATTGACAGTTGAGAACAAGCCAAAATTTTGGATCACCAGTTTTAGTTTGCTTTAACCAAATGACTTAGGTAGTGAGCAAACAGCAAGTTGAGTCACTCATAAATGACACATTTCTTCTGGACATTTTCTTCACAGGATACTACCACTAACAAAATTTCCAGTTGTTTACACTGCATGCTAAAATTTTAACACTATAAGCCCCAAACTTCAACTGCCATCTAACTTCTCTATGCTGCACAAGAAAATCCTCCATCAAATTTACTCTACCCAACAGTCATCTCGGATCCAAATTCAGACATCAATTAATCTCCTGATATGATTGAAATCAGTCTTGCTTGCTACATTTTGCAATCAGTCTAGTCTAATCATCATTGTGTCTATTCAATTAATGCATAACTGAATTTGATAATTATGATATTAACAATCCCACAGATAAGTACAAAAGATTCAACCTGTAGAAGAACCTGATCAGCTAACTGACCTTCTAGATTCCACAAGGAGAGCTCGCTGTTCTGGACTCTTTTCCGTAGAAACATCTATCTCACTGGCTGTATAACTGTTTACCAAAATATCATCAAACAGAACATGAGAGGTATGCGTGAACTTGAAAATAAAAGATTTCACTTGAGATTGTAAACTAAAGAGATCATGAATTTATAATTACTGCAGTCTGCATCAGAAGTTGCTTATATGTCTTCTTTTATAACCTAGAAATCTCTGAGGGCTACAGGGGCAATGCCCGAAACTCGACGAACAATAGACTTGCCCTCTACCCTCTCCACTTAAATTCCACTTAAATACCAGGCTATTGTCTACGGCAGGGTTCGAACCCTCAACGCGGACCTCACCCACACATCATGCGCTCCGCTCTTGCCATTAGACCAAAGCCCTAGAGGGTGTTGCTTATATGTATTTCATGTGCGGGTTTCTAATAGACAATTCCTATTTTTATAAAGCTAATAGAACATTCGTACTATAAACCACCATCTGGAAAAAATTAGTACTACCTAGAAGGAAGAACTGCTTGGGGAACAAAAGGTGTATATGCTGTCTCCCTCTCAGCTGCAAGCCGCTGAGCCTTTTGAAACTCCTTCAAGACCGCTTGAAAATCTTTAGCGAGTTTAGCATCTGTTATTTTCTTGCTAGCCTGATAGTTGAAAGCAGAAGTATATGTTATAAGTGAAAGAGAAAAGTTAGACGAGAGAAGAGTAAGACATAGAGATAAGGCTAATCAACCAAAATCATGAGAACCTCATATAAATAGTGAGAACAGAAGATGAAGAGCATGCGTGTTCAGAAAATATGTCATGAAAGTGCACACTAGCAAAGGCAAACACAGAAGGCAAGAGGAAGTAGGTGAGCTCTTAACACTTACACTGACTTCAATACGATGATCTGTTTCACTGGCTTGCTTAAGTTTTGCAGATGTATCTTTCACTAATTGACCAATATGTACCCTCGTCTTGTGCCTGTACTTAAGCAAAATCAGCATAAGCGCCAACTGAAACCAAGCTTTTTAATCGAATGATAACCAGTACTAACTACAGGATAACAGAGAATCCATATTGAAACAATATAAAATCTCATTATTGCAGCAATAGCAGCAGCATTGCTGCACTAACGGGAAAACAGAAATAGAACTGAAGAGGTAGTATTAACTATAGAGATCTGCTCATGTAATGGTTAAATGTGAATGTCAGATTCTGATTCATGATTCATGATGGTCACATATTATTTCTGTCCTCACCCCAATTTTTCCCAGTGACCATCACCAACTCTATTTACTTTTCACATAGGAATGAGTGACACAACATTCAACAGCAGTCCAGGCTAGAGGCATTTGATAGGCAAACCTCTTTGAGTCATCCTACCAGAACTCACTAAACAACTCAAATGCTATTTTGTAGAATGTTGCACAATAAGCACCGGTTGCGCACACAAAAAATGTTTCAGTATCAGACATAGTATGCGAGCAGCACTTTTAGATTTATTTCCATAGAAAATCTGTGCACCATACAGCTAGTTAATGCCTTCGGAAAATCAATTCCACTTTGACGATGAAAAGGGGTCAAGCACAGCTTTGAACCTCTATAAGGCATATGAACCTACACTTCAAACTTTTTCCCACGATAACATGTTTTATCGTTCATCAGAAGCATGTATTGAACAAAATAGTCCTTCCTAATCATCAAGACAAAGTCAAGGTGGACGAAAGAACATGATTTTTTCTCGTTTTGTTTAATAATGTTTCATCAAGCTTATTGCTTTTTCTCTCTATCAAAACACTCAAGCATTAAAAATATTCATCTGCACATGTTCATTGATAAATTAGACATCACTTTTAGCATGTGCAGAGCCTTCTTCAAAATGTAAAATATCAAGTATAATGTTGTCTTTCAATGTGTGCGCTTATAACATTCACGAATTAACAGTTAAAGATGAAATCCCCAAAGAACAAACCTAAAATAGTATCATTTGAACAAGTTTATCTCAATCACCACAGAAGTTATAAACTAATCCTCAATTGAAAGTACAATAAGTCCACAAAACAAGAAACAGCCAAACTTCAACATAAACATCAAATTCAACACGTAACGAATCCTATTCCAAACCTATTACAAAATGAAATTTAATCCAAAAAATTCTAATTAATAAATAGATTCTAAAACCCTACGCAAGTCAACTTCAATTTATAACAATTTGCAATAAAATTTACGAAAACTTACAATTTCTCACGTAGCTCGGGGGTATCTTTGGGTGTTCCGAGTGTATTGACCAGCCTTTGAAACGTTGAAACAGCAGTATTAATCTGGAAGATTCCAGACGCCACAGCTTGAGTCGGGTCTTGCTTTCCATTCATATATCCCCGTCGGGGCCCCAACGACCGACCCGATTCAAGATCTTGAAAACTCATCTCTTTCTCTTATATATTTCTAATAATCCCCCAAAATTCCCCACAAACCCAACAATCGGAACCTCTAAAAGGGAAATAAAATGAAACACTGATCCAAAGTTCAACAGATGATTGAAAATGAAAACCCTAGAATTTGGAGGTTTTGGGGCGGAATTTGGGAAGAGAGAAGAGGAAAATTTCCAGCTGCTATATTGGTCAGGTGAAAAGGAGGTTGGGAACTTTGGGCAAAGGAAAAGAGAAGAATTGGGCGACAATTGAGGTAGAAATTGAAGGAGTAGAGCTGAACAAAAAAAATTAAAAAAAATGATTTACTCTTTTAATTGGGGGAAATAGTGGAGAAAGGGACGTAATGATTTGATAATGCGTTCGGATCCGGGTGCGAAGGTTAGGGGCCATGTAATAGGCGGCGGGACTCGTGGTTATATAATGTATAACAGGTGGATGTCGGCAGCTTTTTATGCATTTGTTAGCATTTATTAGTTGTTTAACCTTATTTTTTCTCCCCCAACTTAACCTTCTTTCTGATTAATTTCTTTTTTGCTATTTAATTTTAAATTAGCATAAGAACCCGCACAACCCTTGTTAAAAGAAATTAATCATAAAAAATTATTTTCTTATTTGTTTGAGCATATTAAATCCCATCGTTTCGATAAAATTACAACGATCATTTTGCTTCTATATACTGTGTATCAATATATTTAATAACATCTTAAATTATCTTTCTTCCCTCATTAAAAATATTATATTTATTGGCATGTTAACTAATAATGACAAACCTTAAAATATTTTAATATTTCAAAATATTTAATTTGACCAAATCTAATTAATAGATACATTGCCTAATATGGATATTTGTCACAATCCAAAATCTCATCAAGTCGTGATAACACTTAGTCCAATCCGCTATGTAAGCCCAACAATATGATATAACTCAAATGAAAGACCATCAATAACAATAATAAGAAGGTAAAAATCCATACAATATTCCAAGGATTGATAGTACAAGTTATGAGCTACTAAGATTTAAATTTACAAAGTTGGAATGAAGAATAAATACAATATCTTTTTAAAGGTACATAAACACAAATGAAGTCCTAAACTTACCATGAACAAGAGGCAGCTTGAATCTGGAACACTGGTACGTCTTTAATGCTAAACTTCGTCTTCCATAGCTACTCAGCTCCAGAATCTACACGCAAGGTACATAAGTGTAGTATGAGTACACCCGACCCCGTGTACTTAGTAAGTATCTTGATTAACCTCGGTGAAGTAGTCACGAAATTTTTAAATAAAAAAGATAGTCACTTTGAGTGACCTGTGTAGCTCAATAACATATACAATACAGAGAAGTATCCAGAAAAGATAGTCACGGAATAACGGATATCAATATTAAAGGTACACAATTGGGGTAGGGGCGATAAACAAGCTTTGTCAATTAAACAAATTAAGCAAATACAACTTGCACCAACTCCGCACACAAAGAGACATGCACCAAGTAGTGTGTGTGCTCAAATACTCATACATGAATGTAAGTCTGTACATAACAATGATCCAATTCCGTATCAATTTCCAAATACCAGGTTTATGAGTCTAACATTTCAATGTACGATGATAACTCTCTTTTTACATCAATCTGCCACTCTCCACGTGTCCAACAACTCATTAACAAGTCTCGTACATATGTAAAATGCATCAACTAGCATATGTATGATATGCGTGAATAATTCATGTAAATGCATGAATATGCACAAATGATCACTTGAATGGCCAAGCTTCCAACTTTATGCTCAATAACTCATCACATAGAATCCCACATCACAATCAACCAGAAACTCGTCGGTTTCTCATGGCCTGCGTGTACATCATTAAGAGAGAAATATGAGAGGGTGACTCTAGGAGGATGGATTCATATCCAAAATCTACACGGTAAACACCGCGTGCCATAACAATGACGATATTATCATATCTGCATGGCAAAGACCTCGTGCCATTTCCTATCAATCCGTACAATATTCACTACTACGTATACGCCATCAAGTGAGAAACATGAGAGGGAGACCCTAGAGGGATGGATCCTTATCCCATACACTGCACGGACAATTCACGTGTCATAATCATATTAATCACACGGCAAAGACCTTGTGTCAAAATAATATCATATTACAGTCCGCACGGCAAAGACCTCATCCAAAATAATATCACATCACAGCCCGCACGATAAAAATCTCGTGTCAAATCAATAACAACACAATATCCGTACGACAGAAATCTCATGCTAAATCAATAACAATATCATAATATCCGCACAACAGAAACCTCGTGCCCAAATCAATAACAATATCACAGTATTCGCATAGCAAAAATTTCGTGCCCAAATCAATAATAATATCACAATATCCACAACAAAAAACCTCACACCACAACCTCAGTCCATATCCAAGAACCATATGTAGTGATGTATGCATATGAATAAATGATAATAAAAATCCACATAGACAGAGAAATAAATATGCATGGATGTATGCATGTATACAAGGGATGATCCCTAGGTAGGATGTATGCCTATAATATATATGACAATAGACCCAACACGTAATACGTCATCCAAACTATCATCATGCCCTAATAAGCATTAAAAGCCATTTCATAATCTTTAACATGGGTAAAGTACTCAAGTAATCATATATCAATTTAAGGCATAACACAAGAATAACAAGTACGAGTGTGTGTTCATAATATACGTGTGATTACGTCTAAAGTAAGTATAACAATGATTTCAAGAATAGTTTATCATGTTCAAAATAAGGTACCATTAGCCTCAACATTAAACCTAGCATGTTTTACCATGCTCACGTAGTCAATCAATTGAGTAAATATAGAATCAAGTAGAATATGCAACCAAACAAGACATAAAGTAATATAGAATCTACCCCGAGCATGAATACTCATGGCACATATATATACGTTTGTCACCTCATATATACATCATCTCTGCATGTAGCAAACAACATAAATTAGTAGAAAAAATTCTCCCAATCAAAGCTATGCAAGACACCTACCTTATTCGGGCTAATCTAAAGCTCCAAAGTCATATTTTCTTGGGAAATCATCTCTACCTGACTCAAATCTAGCCAAACATCATCCAAGGAAGTCAACCAATTCTATAAGAATCAATCCCAATCCATAAAGCTTCGATCCTTAAAGAATTCTCAAAAAGTCAATAAAAATCAACTTGGGCTCGCATGCCCGAAATTAGAACCAATACAAAATCTCAATGAATCATAACCTTCCGAGATCAAATATATGATTAGATTTCAAAATAGAGACCAAATCGATACTTAAATCTCCAAAATATACTCTCTTAAAGTGTAGTACCAAAACCCCCAAATTTTACTTTGAAATTCCATATTTTAGGCGTAGAAATTATGGAGATTCATGATATATAATCAAAATAGATTCGGAACACTTACCCTCATGATTTGGGTGAAATACTGTAACGATCCGACCGATTATTTTGTGTATTTGAGCCCCTGTAACGACCCGACCGGTTGTTTTAAGCTCTAGCATGTCGTTCGGCGGTTTGAGACCTTGAGTGGCTTCACTTCAAGCATTATGACTTGCACATGTAGTCAGATTTGATTTTCGAGAAGTTCGGAGTTGATTCTCAATTCAGAAGCTTAAAGTTGGAAGAGTTGACCAATGTTTAACTTTTGAGTAAACGACCGGGATTTGAAGGTTCCTATAGGTTCATAAGATAATTTCGGACTTGGGCGTATGTTCTGGTTGAGTATCAGATGGTCCGAGAGCGATTCGTCGCTTATTATTGGAAGTTTACATTTTGAATGTTTGAAATTTGCTAAGTTTGACTTAGAATGTACTTTAATGTTATCGGACTCCGGGTGGTGTTTAGGGACCTTGGATAGGTTCACTTTATTGATTGGAACTTGTGTGTGAAGTTTGGTCATGATCTGAAATGTTTAAGAGTGATTCGGACACTTAAGTTGCATACTAGTTATGTTTAAGAAAATGAGTTGACCACGATCAAATAGTGGATTTAACGAGCTCGAATTCATGAATTAAAAGTTTTAACAGGTTTGTATGATGATTTTGGACTTGTCCGCAAGTTTTGGTTAAATTCTGATGAGTTTCGGATGGGTTTGAATTGTATCGCGCTCTTATTGATGTTTCAATGTCGTTTCTTTCGGCATAAATAGGACCATATTGAGAAAACAATTTTTGATTTGTGATTGGATTGAACCATTAGATCTGTATCATAATTATGGAGCCACAACAATAAGAATCATCGAATTCCGAGGTCGTACGAAAGAGTTATGCCCATTTCCGTGTCAGAAAAGATTGCTGGTTTCTGGTGCAAACTTTTGTTCTTCGCGAACGCGAGGGAGGTCCCGCAAATGCGAAGAAGGAAATTTGGTTTGACTGGTTAATGCGAAAGGTTTCTCTTCGCGAACACGAAGGTGTCCCGCGAAGGCGAGGAACAAAAATTATCTGGCAGTGTTTTAAACCGAGTATTTTAGTATTTTGAGCATATTTTGAGTTCTAGAACTCCGTTTGAGGTGATCTTTACGGCGCTCATCTTAAAAAGGGGTAAATATCTGACCTTTATTTTGATGTTTTTCCATAATTATTTCGTTGATTATTATTTTTATCCGTACTTGAATGGTAGAAATTAGGGTTTTGAGCCCTAAATTGAAAAATGGTAAATCCATGATTTGAGGGTCAATTCATGGATGAAATTGGATAATTTTTTGGATATATACTATAAAAGTTAAGGGTAATATTTATTTTTGATAATTTGTGAAATCTGGGAACGTGGGTCCGGGGATTAACCCTGTTGACTTTTCGAGCTGAGTTGGGAATTATTACAAATTGTTAAATTACGAGTATTAGAGTATATTTTGATTGGTTTGTATGTTGTTTGATTAGTTTCGGATCGTTTGGCATCAGTTTGAGGAGTTAGAGAGGTGTTGAAGCCGGTTATCGAATTTCAGAGCGAGGTAAGTCTCCTGTCTAACCTTGTAAGAGGAAATTTACCCCGTAGGTATTATACTTGCTATGTGCTACATGTTGTGGGGGCTACACACGTATGAAGTGATGGGTATCCGTGCGTTTGCTAGAATTCATGATTAGGTTCGGGTAGACTTAGACTCACACCATACTTTGAAATTAATATTTGAGTTATTCCTGCATGTTTAATTGCTTTAATATACATTTTGCCTAAGACTAGACTTGCGTAAAGTATCAAACTTACGATTTGTGATATATGGTGAGCTACTTGATTAGTAGTATAGATTACACTTCCTTTTACGGATTCTCCCCGAGTTGTACGTATTTGTCCGAAAGTTTCTTGAATTTCACAACTCACACATAC